GGGATACAATACGTATGTGCAGTGCGCATTTAAATGAGAGATGATCAAATATAACAGAGTGACAACAATTCTTATCTAATATTTTTTAATTATTTGCATATGCATGCCTTAACCAAAAGGAAATTCCGATCTCACTATGCCTAGCAAATGACGTGTGTTGTGTGTGTGTGTGTATGTATCTGTATGTATGTGTTTTATGCATATATAATTTTTCCCCCAAAACACTTTTTGCAAGATCCAAGGGAGTGAAAGTTAGTGGAGAATTTTGAAAGAGAAATAAGAGAAAACAAAAGTCCATCAACAGAGATCGGTGAAGATAAATCTTGACCCATTACATTTTTGAATTTTCCATTTAACATCCATTTGGGCGAGAAACACAGAATAAAGCTACCTTATGCAATCAATATTACATGGATGCAATGTATTATCTCCTTCAGTAAAATGTTACATCTAAGAGGAAAGATAGTTGGGTGGGGAGTGAGGAGGATAAACCAAACCCAAAGAGAAGCTAATCAGTAGACAAGTAGATCTCCCCCATGAAGGTCTACAAGTAGGATGGGGGGGAAACGTGATAATGTAAAAAGTGTATTATAACAGAGGCCAAGTTTTGTATATTCAATGCATCTTTTGATTACAATTATAAATCTGCTGGGTGCTAAACAGTCATGCCACAATCTCTTTATATATATAATGGTTTCCTTATTAGTGTAGGAAGTATTGAATGAAGGTAAGTTTCTATCGGAGTTGTATTTAGATAATTCTGCAGGATTGCTTTACCCAAAACATGACCTTTGGTTTACATTACTAGAAACTTAGCATTATCTCAAATTAGAATTTCAATGTATATTCAAACCTAGTTTCTAGAAAAGTTCGAGACTTTGTTTTAAGTAATCTTTTGAACTGCTAGCAGTTTATGCAAATTGAGGATTATCTAAATCTGGTGCCAAATCCAGGACAAGATTTTCATAACAAAGAATGCTTTTGCAGGTACTGCCAAGAATGAACCCAGCTCTGTTCTCTTTTAGCAAACAACAGCAGGTGGTCTGGGCTCTAAATGACAAACCCTGTGCTACATCTGGCTGAGATAACCACGCTGTCCCTTTAATGAAGGATGCTTATAAAAGATACTTCTTCATGGTATGACTGATAGGAAAACAGAACCAAAATATAGGTCTTTCAAAAATTCTAGGCGTGAAATATGAAAAAAAAAAATTGTTGCCCTACGATATGTAAATTCTCCATTCCACACAAGGGTACCGCAACAAATAGCCTATTTAGGATTAAAGTATGAACATTTATCGAACCACTGTGGTGGTTTGCTCTACCAGCTGGTTAATTATTATTATTTATACAACAGATTCCGGAGCGCTGTACAATAGGTTGATAACAGACATGTATTTGCAACAAGACGAGTTGGACTAACAGGAACAGAGGGTGTTGAGGGCCCTGCTCAAACAAACTTACATTCTAGAGAATAGACATAGCTCATGGTTATACACTAAAGCGTGAATTGCTGAATTTAAAAATTTAGGCCGATAGAGAACGTAAAAAAATTTAAATTTACAAATTTGCTAGCAGGGATGATACGCACTGCTTAGCTGTATGTGAAACTTCAGCTCCACTTTTGAAATCTATTTACAATCTGTGGTCACAATTCAGTTAGCATTACCCATGTTAAGTTGTTTTCACACTTGAAATCATATGAATTCCACATATTTTTGGGCTGACCTGGGTTTTTCTAAAAAGCGGCGATTTGGCAAGCCTAGTTACTGGCCAATGTCCCTCAATTCTGCTCTGGCTCCTCGTTTTCTTATCACCAGTAAAGATGGCCGGGCTAATGATATATCAGTCCAGCCTCCTTGTTGTTTTACTAGCCAGAGATTGTCTACTGAACAGGCAATATAGTGTACAGAACAAAGAGCCACCCTACATATTTATTTTTCTTTTCTTACGACTGACTTTACCCTACTGGAGCCATGAAAGTGCAGGTGGATCGTTGAGTTTTATGACTGATAGCACTTTGATCACCGATCAGTTTCACTGTTGCTTGCAGGGTATGTAGAGATGGGGTGAGAGTTACAACCTCATTGGTATTTTCCCTTCCAGCTACCTCCTATAAATCCACTCCCAATCACTGAGACGGCAATTGGCTTCACATGTCAGGTTAATGACAGGGCATAAAATTCCTCAATGCAACTGCAAGATTACCCTCTGCAAAACCTCAGAATCACTTAGCCCAACCAGAATACTGAAAAATGAAAACGGTTAAAGTTCATAAATCAGATTTGATTTACTCATATTCTACTTTATTTTTTGGGAACTTTCAAATACTAGCTCATATTCAAAAAGGCACCGGAATATGACTTTTCTGAAGAAGAACATCTGAAATATCCCTTAACACATTCCTGGCCTGCCCAGCAATATATCAACTGACACCGTGTTGTACGATTTATCTGCTAAATAGTCATAGTGGTATACTGACAACAGATCATTGCATTAATTTATGTACAATAAGGTATGAGTTGGTTGAATAGCAGGATAAAGGATATGACACATCTTAAGTAAACTCAGAATAAAAGAGGAAACCCAGCATGTATGAATTCTAGAAATGCAAACATTTCCATGCATTACTAACTTCACTGGATAAAATGGAGTTACAATAAAGGACTGCTTTAAGCACCAGGGCTCAGTAATGCCGACCATCGTATTGGACACCAACGGAGTAATTCTCTACACTAATTATAGCAAACTGAAATTCATATTGCAAAATTCAGGGGCTTGTTCACTAAACACAAAATTGTACAGAATTAAAAAATCCGAATAGCAAAATCAGGGCAAAAAGTAGCTGACCTGGAGAATTTATCCAACTATACTACAAACAGAGCTTGACTGTTTATGTCTGTTTTGCAATTTTTGATTTTAATTCTGTTTTGATTTGGAGATTAGTGAATTGGGCAATATGTGATTAGAACAGAGCTGGAGAATTTCTCCAAATTTAGCTATTTGGTCCAAAATTTAGAGAAGAACCCTTTAAATCTAAAGCTCGGTTCATCATCCGGGGGTTTATGAACTAAACGACACATTGCAGCAAAGAAACCTGAAAATAAAATAAAAAACTACGCAAATAAAAGTAATCTGGAAGACCTCCTCCAGCATCACTATAGCTTGGCAATAGTCACAGCCGCACAGCTAACTATATACAAACAGCCCAATCTAAGACCAGTCAGCACAATGCCCCATCTCACTTTCTTATATTACATCTTAAATGTTTTATACTGACACTACAAGAACTAAAATACAACAATACTAAAACAAAATACTGTGAATAATATATTTTATTATTGTGATGTAAAGCCCACAAAACTCACTATTCTAGTGGTCTGGGTAAACTGCCCCCCTTGCCAGCAAGTCCCTGCACCTCAGATGCAATATGAACAAGATAATTGGGGAGTTTTGATATCTGGCCCCTATCTCTACACAGAGGAATGCACAGTACAGTTTTTAGGATTTCAGATACCATCCCAGGGCATACACTCTGCTCTACTGGACGCAGTTACAGTCAGATGTGAGCTATTTTTTCAAGCCTATAAAAAGCTCTGGGTGGCAATAGCCTGGGTGTTTACCTTTAGATATAACCTTGCTTTCCCTCGCTGACCTGAGTTTGAACCAGCGATTAGCACTGCATCATAAGTTTAAGAACTTAACTTCTCTCGCAATGCTTTTTCCTCTCAGGACCCTGAACGTAAATACAATCTGAGTCTAGGGGTGAACTGCAGGACAAGCACTAATTTTATAAGATAGGAATGTCTCCTGGAGAAAATGTTTGATGGTCCTGGATTCTGATCTAAGAGCCTCATTATGTGCCATATTGGAAAAAAATCTGTTTTTTTTTCCTGCAATCAGCGCTCAGCAGACACTATAGGCAGAGGATAAGGAGAGAGAGGGGAGAGGCTTACAGTGCAGTAAGGAACTTATCCCTCCACTCCCCCCCAAAAAATAAAATGCTAAAACTAACCTGAGGGCTGAAATAATAGATACACAGAAGTGGCCACTAGCCCTGTTCTAGAATTTACTGGCGATCTTAACCCTTCATGAACAATATGGTAGAAAAAGTGACGTTTCTTATATTTAATGATTGAGAAATTCTGGGGCAATGTTCTAATCGTGGAGAGGTTTGCGGAGACGTTCCATCGTTTCCATGGTGATCACCCAGAATTTAGAACAATGCCTATATTTGATTTAAAAACAAACATACGAATATCAGATGTTTTAATACAGTGCGCAGGGCGATTTGGATCTCTCTAAGCATCCACAACTAAAAAAAGGCTCCTACAGCAATGAGTTCAGTTCTTAAGTTTTTTTTTTTTTTTAAGAAATAAATAGCTTTGGTGTAGTAACATGTGCATTTAACGCAAGATGAACAAACTGCACACTTTGCAACTTTGGACAATTCCCAATATTCCCAATAACCTACAACTTTAAATTTGTAGATTGTAGGACAATTTGTACTGTAATGATCTTGGCTAGAGGTTTGGATATACCTTGATAGGGGATAGATAGATAGATAGATAGAAATATTGTGTTAGTACATTTTGTATAATGAACTGCGTTTATGGAAAAGTCTTATTAAGTAACGGATTAAGTAATTGGAAAGTAAATAGTACACGCCTCTCTATTAAATGGCCCATTGACTGTTCGGGCACTGAGCCCTGTGCCTGACGCCTCTCTTTGTGCCTGAAAACCAACACCTTTTTCAAAAGGCAAATCCGCTGATTGTCTGCAGCTCGCTGGAGGTGGTATGGAGTAAAATCCAAATGGTTAAAGATTTTGGGCAGAATTGTCCTGGTGGGAGGGGCCCTAGAGGGGATGCTACAATCTGCAATTAAAGATGAACTTTGTGTGAACTAATTTATCTCAGCAAGGTAAAAAAAAAAAAAAAAAAAAAGGGGCAGACCTGTTTGGAAGTATATAAAGAGGAGACCTGGGATGATTTTTGGATAGTTAGGGTCTGCATCTCCTGAGTCCTTTAGGATATTGCAGGTAGAATGCTGTGTTTAGCTGCTGTTACCATGGATTTATATACTTTTGTAACCAGTACTCTGTGCACTCTGATTTTACCAGTGCTCCTGGTGATCAGTGCTGTCAAACTCTGGAACCTGTACTGTGTGAGCCTGAGGGATTGGAGCTGTGATGCCCCTTTACCGCCTGGTACTATGGGGCTCCCCTTCTTTGGAGAAACGATGCAAATGTTACTTTATGTGAGTATCATTAACTTCTAGTGTTTCCTTTCCACAGGGGGATCAGGGATCCTGCAGGGGACACTGTCCCACCTGCTCAGTCTTCTTGCTGCGTTTTTACGCACGAGTGTTGGGCTGGATACTTTATAACAAAATATATTTCCACAAAAGACGATGTTTATAATTTTTGTTTTTAAATCATGGTGTGTAAGATACATTGGAAACATTTTGTTAGCGGTAACATTATGTATATAATGTAACTGTTCATATGAGCTATATGTTCTCATTCTTGTTAGGAGTTTTCGCGTTGGTTGTAAAACTTAATATAATTTTTGTTCATTATTAAGTTTTTGTATTTTTTTTGTTTACTTTAACAGAGAAAAAGGTTTCTTCAGGCAAAGAGGAGGCAGTATGGCAGCATTTACAAAACCCATCTGTTTGGGAACCCCACGGTGCGAGTTATGGGTGCGGATAATGTGCGTCAGATTCTGCTGGGGGAGCACCGGCTGGTGTCTGTGCAGTGGCCGGCGTCAGTCCGCACCATCCTGGGGTCCCAGTGCCTCTCCAACCTCCATAACGCCGAGCACAAGGAAATGAAAAGGGTAGGTAACAGCGCTATCCGCTATTCACTAAGATGGCGCAAACCATATCTGTACCCTAATAAATGCACATTGCCGCATCGAGCACCTTCCTATTTTATATTGGTTTATTAGACAGCAATATTTCTACTTCTTCCAAGAGTCAGAAAAGGTGAAGTTTTATATAAATCCATTGCCAGTCCATACTAGCGGTTTATAGGTTAATAGCGCCATCATTCGTTCGCTTTAAACTCGGTATTGATACTGAAAAATAAACACTTGTTGCTTTTTATACTGTGGGCAGACTGTCATTTTATCCACGCACACCTAGGTAGGAGGGCATCACTGTCCTAGCACACCTGGGTAGAAGGGCATCACTGTCCTAGCACACCTGAGGAGGGGGCATCACTGTCCTAGCACACCTGAGGAGGGGGCATCACTGTCCTAGCACACCTGGGTAGAAGGGCATCACTGTCCTAGCACACCTGAAGATGGGGTATCACTGCCCCACTTTTACACAAAGGTAGGGGCATCACTGTCCTAGCACACCTGAGGAGGGGGCATCACTGTCCTAGCACACCTGAGGAGGGGGCATCACTGTCCTAGCACACCTGAGTAGGAGGGCATCACTTTTCCCTTCCACACAGGGGTAGCGAGGCATCACTGTCCCCTATGCACGCGGGAGTAGGGGTCATCACTGTGAGGGGGTAAGGGTGCACGTCTAATCGGCCTTGCACCATGTCCTGTCTTTATTCCTACTTTTTAGGTCTCCCACTTGGCCCAGCTGAATGGGGGTAGTAGGTCACTTTAATTTTAATCCTGTATTATCATTGATGATCCTTAATCCCTTCCCAGCAGGAAATCGCCAAGGGAGGGGAGGTGGTGAGGGGTGTGTGAGGGGGATCCTGGCTAATTATGTGCTTAGATAAACTAATTAGTCCCGTTAACCCCTGATGTGCCAGAGGGCCGCTCCATGTACTCAGCTGGCCGTTTGTGCCATGCAGACCGAACCCTGAGTGACACATTGTATCTCCCCAGGTTATGATGCAGGCTTTCTCCCGGGAGGCTCTGGACACCTATGTGCCGGTTATGGAGGAGGAGGTGAGGAGTGCCGTGAAGAGCTGGCTGGAGAACGGCTCCAACGTGTTGATGTACCCGGCCATCAAACGGCTCATGTTCCGGATTGCCATGAGGGTCTTACTGGGCTTCGAGACCTGGGAGATGGAGAACACCCTGGACCAGCCCATGGTCGATGCCTTCGAGGAAATGATCAAGAATCTCTTCTCTCTACCCATTGACATTCCCTTTAGCGGCCTCTACAGGGTAAGTGTATAACTGCACCTTCTCAGGCTTTCCCTTCTAAACTAGTGTATTCTATAAATTATTATAAATTATACTAAATTCTATTAATACACACTCATACTAAATTCTTTAAATTCTATTAATAGACTCATACTAAATTCTATAAATTATACTAAAATCTATAAAATGTCGAAACTAGTCACACAAACACACTACACAGAATAACATGGTCTCCAACACATCCACCTGTAAAAACAAGGCTATCACTATTAAAGTAAACTTTGCGCTGTTCTGCGGAATGGTTGCTTTTGTTTATTTATAATTTATGATTTAAAAAAAGTAAGTTGTGTCAATATTCCATGCAAATTAAAGATAGTTTGTTTTTTTAAAAATGGTTAATTTGTAAATTTTCTCTTCCCTTTCCATAGGGTCTACGGGCTAGAAATAGAATTCATGCCATAATTGAACAGAACATCAAAGAAAAACTGGAAAAGGAGCCCGAACGCTCTTGGAAGGATGCGCTACAGCTGCTGATAGATCATAGCAAGAAGAATGATAAAACGGTGGACTTGCAGGTAAATCTCGAGCCTTTTATACACTCTGAATGCCAGATCATTTGTGTAATAAGAGACTTTGTGATGTAGTAACAGGCACATATGTTCTATATCAAGTATTGCGGATGATCTAGCACTCATAGACTTCAAGGTCAACTTCCTTACCAAGATCTAACAGTCCTGGCTTCACTCAAAGTGGGCTTTTCTATTAGCGCACTATAAAATGAGAGGATCACTTTAAAATACATCAAATTCACAATGCAGACTTATTTATATTTGCATGTTCTCTCTCTCTCCTCTATCCTTCTAGGCATTAAAAGAATCTGCAACAGAACTCTTGTTTGGAGGGCATGGGACAACTGCTAGCGCTGCCACTTCCATAGTCACCTTCTTGGCTGCTCACAATGAGGTTCTTCAAAAAGTCAGAAAGGAACTTGAATTAAATGTAAGTTTATTTCTTTTTAATTTTTTTCTCATCTTTCTCTCTGACAGTCCAATGATCATTCGGTGCAGTTTTGTCTGAAGAGGTGACTGGTTTTTAAACTTTTGTTTTCTTTTTTTGTTTTTCCTTTTCATAGAATCTTTTGTCCACCAAACCAGAAGATCAGAAGGATTTGACTATCGAAATATTGCAAAAGCTCGAATACGCTGGCTGTGTCCTGAAAGAGACCCTTCGACTCAATCCACCAGTTCCAGGAGGCTTCAGAGTTGCTCTGAAGACCTTCACATTGAATGTAAGTAGAGGAATCCTATGACTTAATCATACAGTAGAACAGGGACTTACATTACCCAAGATTTGGAAAATGTAGGCCAAAAACCAAAACAAAATGAATAAAATGTCAATTCATGGCTTAATTAATAAACCTGTTTCTAATGCTAAAAATTGCTCTGAAAAAAAGTAACGTACCCCGAAGAACAGCTTAAATCACACTTAAATGACACTTCCTTTTTTTTTTTTTTACGTCTACAATCAATGAATAGCAACTCCAAAAAGTAACAGGGAAACCAGTTCTGCTTTTCAAACTTAATTGTTTTATGATAGCAGTTTGTCCTCCTGCTTTTCATACTATACAAGGCAGCTTGTAGTAGTGAGGGCTTGTGGCAGGGCAGTTTGTTTAGCCTTTAATTTATTGTATTTTTATTCTTTGGCAGGAGTGCCTCAGTGTTTGATGTGACAGAGTAGGCAGTTCTTAAAGTCTCTTTACAGGAGCACATCACAACATCTGACAATTTGCAGGCAATTTCATGCTTGTCAGTGGGATCCTGGTGCCTGTAATTAGGCTGTGTTTTACGGTTTTATAGCACTGGGCAGAATAAACCCTAGCACGCCCGCTGTTTTTATTACAGATCAGATACTGGGTGCTAGAGAGGAGTAGCTGGCCTGGGATGTAAGGGAATTCAAATAGTCTGATGTTGATGAACTTTTTCCCTTCTCTTTCAGGGCTTTCAGATTCCCAAAGGCTGGAATGTCCTCTACAGCATAGCGGACACTCATGATGTAGCGGACATCTTCCCGGAGAAAGAACAGTTCAATCCAGATCGGTTTTTAACACCTTTCCCACAAGATGCCAGCAGATTCAATTATATCCCATTTGGAGGGGGTGTGCGTACCTGTGTGGGCAAAGAGTTTGCCAAAATCCTCCTGAAAATCTTCATTGTTGAACTGTGTCGAAATTGTGACTGGGAGCTTATTAATGGGACACCTGACATCAAAACTGCACCCATTGTCAGCCCTGTGGACAATCTGCCTACTCGATTTAAGCCTTTTAACGGAGCAATTTAAATATAGTTGGCTATGTAAAAATCATATATAGAGTCTTTTTATATCATCATCATTTTATATTTAACTTGTACAGTGCTGTATTTTAATTTGTATTATATTGTAAATTTTATTTTTCCCTTTTAATGTAAAGTGACTTTGAGCATGAAGCCTGGACCAAACCATTATTAATGTAGAAATATTGTATTTAATGCTCTTTTGGACTGGTGTCATGGTGCCTGGAAAGTCGTTGTATATACAGTATACATGTACATATTTTACTTGTGTCATAATAAAGATTTAAACCATGCCGTTGTCTTGCTTACTGTTTAATACGAGACCTTATTGGGATTAGTGTGAAATTCACCATGGCTAGTAATATTATAATAATTATAGTTCTATATAATCTACTGTGCTCATAGTACACATTCTACTTCTAATAAAACACAAACTGCAATATCCTTTATGTAAAACTAAACTACAATTTACATGGCTACAAGAATACCGATAACTCATCTCTAATTATATTTAAAAAATTTTTTTATTTTTTTTATTTAATATGCTAACTTGATTATTCCAAACGACTGTAATTTTGCAAATAGAAAAAAAAACTTTTATAAAGCAACGATTAAAACTCCCAAACTGCACTTTGTTTTCTTTTAATAATGTTTTAAAAAAGAAAAATCGTCCAAGTTCAAACCTTTCCTTCCCTCTCCTTCCTTGTATTACTTCTGCCAATCATACAATCCCTATTTTTAATGTTATTTACTATTCTCTAATGAAAGTCCACAAGCTATACTTGCAAAAAAAATTCTGATCATAATCGAAAAAAAATTATATATATATAGAAAATGATTATGCTCATTAATTTAATAATTATGATGCCACAAATCCGTGACCTCTTCATGATTAAGTTAGCTAATAAACCGGTTGCAGAAATCGTGAACAGTAAAAAGATAAGCATTAGAATAGATTTTTCTAAATAAAACGGACTGTGACATTTTATCAGACAAACCCGGGCATCTAAGCCTGACCTGACCCATGAATGACCTTGTGGTAACCCTGTGAACCTTCAACGACCCTGGTGCAAGCTTAGCTGTGTCATTTTAAATCCGCATGTGCACATCTCTCCATAAAGATTGGACACTGGGGTTACTGCACTGTACAGATTCCAGCCAATTACAGTCAAATAGTCTACAGAACGACAAAAAAACATTTGGCCAATTGCTCTATTTCTGAAAGTTGTTGGTGCTTCGTTCGTTCTGTACGTCCAAGCCCTCCCTAAAATCTAATTATGGAGTTTTAACTCTTTATTTGCTAGTAGGTTTGTTAATGTATTTGTTTACAATTGTTTGGAATCGGCAGCGTACCATTGAAATAACCACTAAATTTTTATTTTTTTTATAAAAATAAGGATTTTTAATTTTTTTTTTTTAGATTAGTTTGCTATATGACCTATGAACCTCCGGTAAACTAGAACATCAAAGGTTAAAAAAAGTACGGTATAACATGATCAATTTCCAGAACTGAACGACAGGATTGACTTTTTGAGAACATTCGTTCTTTAGTACAGCTCACCACCATTGCTAATTTTAAAGTGATGATCGAATCTGGACATCACTCATCACAGTAGGAAGGGTCACAGAAAGATACTCTGTGGGTAACAGCAATTCGTCAATTCTAGCGCAAACTATAGAAAGCTATTCATGAATTTAGTTCTCCAGATTCAAGCAATATGTCTGCCTCACTTCAAAGCAACACTTTTCTCCTCTCCCCCACCTTCTAGTCTATTGTGCATTTTAGGGACATGGTTAATAAGTGTACAGTTCTGAAAAATGGATGGACAACCATTCTATAAAACTCTATTTGACCTCTAACTTGTCAATAATTCCTATACAAGATTCTGGTACTTTTATCCCAAATGTAGACATGATGCTTAAGGCAGAAAATAAAAACACGAATATATAAGCTGACAACTGGTCAAAACTTTCAGTTTTCTGTGTTCACAAGATAGCGATTTCCTTGTCGCTTTTTGTTTAAAGAATTTTTGTTACTAGGTCCATTTGGAAATCTCAGTTAGTGACTCAGAAGTGTAGCTGCATGGGTGATGGATCAGAAGCCTCAATAGAAAGCTGAAACAATCTTTTACCAGATACCACAATGATCAGTGAAGTCCTGAATGAAATCACGAGGCCCTCACGTGAGAAATGGACATTTAATGGTTCTATGAAATGAAAAAAACAGAGAGTAAAACTCTGTTAATAATCACATAATCTTAAAAGAAACATTTTGGTTTGTCAAGATGAGAAGTCTTGCTTTTTGTCTTTGGGTTGATCATCACTCCAGGCATTTAAAATATATTAGGTGAAATCCTCACAAGTATTTAGGTAGAGAGCAGAATTCACTAATAAACAAAATACAAAAATAACCCTGATCCCTGAGTCACAAATTCCATGCAAGAAGAATTAAAAAAAAAAAAATTAAAAAATTAAGGTCGCAGACGCACAGAATGCTGGAATTCTTGCCAAACATAGAAATGAAACTATTTTTTTTTTCTGGCATTTTATAGTTAGATCACTCATGTGGAATTTACAGACAATATTTTTATGCAATAATTATAAAAACAGCTGGTGGCTTATAGAGAATTAAAAATATTACCACTTTCTAAAAATACTATACCTAATTAGAACGTGGATGAACGTTCACAGTATTTATTGAGGTTTTTCAACATCAGCCCTTTAACACTCCTCCTAACAGATTATTAGAAACCTCTTGCATTTTTATATGTGGGGCAGTGAGGGTTCGTGGCTTTGGATATGGTTATCCATGTTTTTGCATGCTGTTCCAGATTAATTTTAAATAAAAAAATTGTTCTTTGGAATCTGTCAGTCATAGGTTGCTTTCTTTCGGATGTCTGATGGGTTAAACCTTGTGATGCGTTAGTTAAACTCTGTATCTAAGATAGATAAATATACAATGTTATGATTATCAAAGCATGCCTGCAGGATTGAAGGTTTGTCCCAAACACAGCCCTTAACAGACTGCCCAGTATGTAGCTCTTTGTCATTGACACTATTGTTCTAAATACTCCAGCCCACAGGTAACACATGGAGGACATTTTATGGACATCTATAAAATGACAAAACTGCTGATTGTGCAATGGCTAAGAGAGATAGTGGCGAGGAAGGGACAACCTTAGAACTTTGATGTTTTGAGTTTGGGATCACAAAACCATTGCCATTGAGTAGAGATTCTATACAATGTGCAATGTACAAATTGTCCAAATACCACTTGATTTTCCTGACTGATCATCTAAATTCAGTTTTTTTTTGGTTCTATAATTGAACTATTGCTTTGTCTTTGCCAATTTTATTAACTTTTTTTAATGGTCTTGGCATTTACAGTGCAGGATTCGCTGACATTTAATACCCTTAGCAATCCAAGCAAACAGGGAGATTGTTGAGAAAAAGAAAAAAAAAATAGGGAAACAGAGTGATAGATCAGAAGATTTTCATAGAAAGCCGTCCCACTCCCATGCTAGAATGCTACCGTCATTATTTACAGTATCTACAATACATTTGACACCTTTATTTTGCTGCACCCCATCTTAGAACCTCATATAAACCCAACTCATGATAAATGCTGATGAACTTTTCCTCTGATCAACTTCTAAGAGGCTTTCCCCCTAATGTATTATGTCCAAACACATGGGAAAGTAAAACAAGATTTTATTCTCCGAAACGTTCAGTTACCATCTATTTTATCCCTAATTGGAAGCAATGAACTGAATTTATTACGGCAGTATGGGAGAGAAGTTTTAAACTTTTGCCTCTCCTTCCCACTCGTTGAACTGAGGAAAGTACAGTGTTAATCAATGTAATTGCTTTTGGACTTACATTGTTACTGGAACGTTTTATATGCAAGGCTGTCATTTATTTAGAACAGTTAAATAAAAAACTGGTTGGATACAAAGAATAAAAACTACAGTTAAGCACTCCACATGCCACCTAGAAGAACAAAGATTCAATAAAGACATTGTATACACTAGTTATGGCTAACCTTTGGCACTCCAGCTGTTGCGGGGGTCATTCGATTGGCTGAACCTCTTGGGAACCATAGCCCATAACAACTGGCATGTCAAAGGTCAGACATCATAGGTATATGCCAATAAAATACCACAGAGCTTTAACATACATAAGAAATATATTGGCCAATATGTTGTTGCCATTTGATTTTTCTTTTTAAATTCATAGATTATATCCAACCCAGTTGCTCAGTTTTGTCACTTTTTTAAGGGATTCCATTTGGTTAATACACCAACTAAATGTGTCATTTTCAGTGTTAGTAAAGGAATAAACATCCCAACTAGTATAAACTGTCAGTGTATGATCTGGTACTGTTTATTCAGCGTCAAATTATTGTAGATAAATATATTTTCAGCGTCTGAAGAGAGAAGAATAAAGGACAGTATGTTTAAATGAACCGCAGTCTCTTCAGAAATTGGAGTAAACTGAGATGTTCAACAAGCTCCCCAATTCACTGAGTAGATGTCTCCTCCATGGAGTTGACCTACACTAGTTAAATTAGTTGGAGACTTAACTCTGGAGACGAAATTCAAAGTAGACTTGGTAGAGCTCCATAGTACGAGGAAAGAGTAAGGAAGTCCGCAGTTCATTAAAACGTCTCTGTAAAATATGCAAAGTCCCCAGATAGTGACAGAAACCCCCAATCGTAACTGCTGTGCTGGGTGTCTGGTGGCTGTGTGGTGAAGGTGGGGAAACCAACAACATATACAGAGACTGTTCTCTTTTGGATGGATGGATGGATAGATAATTAGGGAGTAGATAGATTATTGATCCCTCGTACCTTTTGAGATTTTTGTATCAAGGAAGAAACTAATTTTCTTTTGTCAATTTTGCCTCAGAATCAAGCACTTGTTTCTTTCAAATGTCAAACCAGTCAGACGACTCTCTCAAATGAGCACCTGCGTTATTTTAAATGGTATGCTCATTTGTGTCCCTCTTTGTTACAAATCAGTGCACCTTCTATACCTGTTGAGTTTCTGGACTTAAACACATGTGAACATGTAAAGAAATTAGCATTTTGTTATTTTATCCAGATAGTCATAAGAATGGAGCAGCTGAAACACATTGAAATATCCCAAAACACCTTCTGAATTCTGTCTGCTATTTGGCCATGGCCCTGAATAGCTCTATTCCACATCTGTACCCCCTTTATTGTAAATGAGATTGTCCTTTGTTCAAGGTGTAATTCCTTTTCTTCTAATCACAAAGGATGACCTCATGTCAC